TTTCCTTTCAACCCAAATGCGTTTGTGTATCCTGTATGAGCAGCACAAACAAGCACAATAAATCACCAAAAAAAGCGAGCACAAAAAAATGTGACGCGTGCAAGGAAACGGCGATCCTGCTGCGGCGAAACTCAACTATGGAATGGCAATAGCTGTGGCGCTCCAGCCGCTCAATGCTGCTACATAGGCTGTGTCATTGTCGTCGGTCGATTCACGATGAGTCGACTTATAGCCGAATGGCTTGGCACAACGAGTCAAGTCAAGCAGATTTGCGCGCGACCAACACCAACACAACACAGTTCAGCAGCAGCAACCGATTGGAAGCACCGGAAACACCAGCAGGGTGTGAGTGTTGGATTTCCCGCGCCGCTTCCAGGCGCGCGCACAACGAAACAGAGCAAAACAAAGTTAGAGCAAACATATGCAACACATGCACACACACAGGCGCGCAAACGACACTGGAAGGAAACGGAAGCGGCCGCTGAGGCGCACTGTTAAAGCACTCACACACCGCATTACAGCGACACTCACACACACACACACACACACACGTATGCCCGGCCAACGACGGTTTATTAAGTGTAGTACACTAGGGCGGTTAATGGCATCGAGCCGCTGGTGACACCATTGGAATTTCTGTTTTGTTGTTTGTTATTATTTTTGCCCGTTGCTCCTGCTGGTATTTCTGATATTTTTTTTTTCTACATACCTATTTTTATTTTTTACCGAATAGCCGACGAATGTAGTCGTCGGCTATCGGCGATGAGGCTGTAACCAGCCGTCACAGCATGCAATGAATGAAAGCGCGCCCACTCACCGAGGCAATCATGCAAGCCGAAATTGGGTAGGGGGTGTACATATGTACATATGTAAGTGGGAAGGGGTTCGTTTTATTATTTGTTTGTTATCTCACATATATTTTAATATGTATAGTATAGTATATATGTATGTACAATGTCCATACATATCTAGGTATGTATGTATATGCTAATGTAAGTATGTACAGAATTTTTCGTAGTTCTTCTTCTTTTTTTCTGTTTCATGCGGCGCTTGAGGTTCATTTCAAGCTCACGGGTAAGCGACGAGTTGCATCTCATCCAAGCACCCAGCCAGGCAGCCAGCCAGCTTGGCAAGCATCTATCCCCATACTGTCTGTCAGGCAGGTTGGTTGACAATGATTCTGATGGCTAGGTGCGTGTAAATGACGCCAAATTAATTATGTGTTGGTGTTTTACTTATGTACATATATACATGCATCTATGCCTACGTCTTTATGTTTGTGTATTTCTATGTATGTATGTATGTACATTTCAGTTTTGAGTGCTGCTGCACTTTGGTGCGTTAGGACTGTATATTAATACATATTTAGGTATACACCT